TGAAGGTGTGTTTCACTTTGGAACCGGAAGGAGGGTTTGTTCCGGAGACGCACACAGCTGGGGGCCGGCAGTGGTGAGGGATGGAGACCTGGGTGGGCCTGGAAAGGCAGGAGGCGTGTGAGGAACAGAGTGGCCCAAGGAAGAACCTGAGTGAGAGGCAGATACGACTGCTGAGTGGGGGCCAGGGCGGCGCTCCCACCACCAAAGCACGAGAGCCAGACGTCTGTGCCCACCAAGGCCTGACCGCTTCCTGAGGCCTCAGGACTCCAAGGAGCTCCCGCCAGGAGCGCCTGTTTTCTCCTGTCCCAGGGAGAGGCTTCCGAGCCACCTGGCAGAGGCGGGACTGTGCAGAGGCCGTGGCCAGTGAGGGCAACTCTGGCCATGAGTGGGTACCCCAAATGTCTGTGACCCTGGGGGCACTTCTAAAGCCCGGGACAGGGGAGAGGTCACAGCCGGTGTCAGCAGGCCCCACGTCTGAGAGGCTGAGCCCTCCGGTCCTGTGCAGGCCTGGCCACCGGGCTACAGGGAAGCCTGGGACAGCAGCCTCCCCCTCTCTAGGCCTGCGTGTCCCCATCCGCAAAACGAGAGCTTTGGATATTAATCTGTGCTTTCGGCGGGTGCTTTCCCCACCCCCCCCCCACCCTCAACAGATTTCCCAAAGTATTCCATGAAAAACAAATTAAAGGAGAATCTTTTTAGGTCGGAGGATTCCTGGAGCTTAATGCCCAACCTCCCTTCCCAAGAGGATCCCTTGGGCATGTCCATGGGCCCTAGGGCACCTGGAGTGCCACTGAGGACCACCCGTTGATGGTCCGGAAGGTTCCTTCCAGTTCCACATTATCCCACCAAGGGAAGGGATGTGTGCCTGGGTGGGGGCTCAGCGGCTCAGAAACACCTTTAAGGACGATGACAAGGCACATGGATTGAGAGGGGCTGTCTGTCGGGTGTGCTTCTAAGTGCTTCCCTTGGCTTATCCTGTTCACGCCTCACAGCATCCCAGAGTGTACATCCCAGATGTGGAGATGTTTCGTGACATCCCAGGGTGGGACAGGAGGGCTGAGGCAGAACTGAGATTGGAAAGTGAACTCCTAGTCAGGACTGAGAGCTCCACACGAGCCTCAGAAGTTTCGCGCAGCCGAAACCGGTCTGGCTCAGTGGATAGAGTGTTGGCCTGCGGACTGAAAGGTTCCGGGTTCGATTCCGGTCAAGGGCATGTACCTTGGTTGCGGGGTGTGCACACACCAGTAGGGGGTGTGCAAGAGGCAGCTGATCTATGTTTCTCTCTCATTGATGTTTCTGGCTCTCTGACCCTCTCCCTTCCGCTCTGTGAAAAAATCAATTATATATATATTTTTTTTTAAAAAAAAAAAAAGAAGGGTGCACAGCTCCGCCCTGGCCAGGGGTCCCTGGCCTGTGGGGCACGAGGCATTGCCCTCCCCTGGCAGCTGCCTCGCCTTGGTTCCACGCCAGGCAGAGCCACAGGAAGGCAGAAGGAAGGCTCGGTAAGGATGACGAGCTGACAGGAGGCATCCGACAGCAGGGTGAAGGGGAGGATGAGGCAGGGACCATGGGGATGGAGGGTGGGGAATAGAGGTTGAGGTGCCGAGTGTGAATCCTGCCTCCCTAGCTCTGTCACCCTCGGCAGCTGACTTAACCACCCTTATGGGTTCGAGTGAAGATTAAATGTGCCAACTAAGTTGGCCCCTGCCAGGGCCCTGGCACCTTACCGCCCGCGTAGAACTCCCCTCTGATTCCTGTGAAGTCCTGACCGAGGGGAGGACTTCCAGCTGTGCTGCTGGAGAAGCCTGGCCCCCAGCTCCTGTGCAGGGAGACCCACACCCAGAACCCGCGGTCGCTGCATGGGCTGCAGGGAGCCGGTCCCATTCTTCGAAATCCTCCCGTCTGCGCTCCTCCCCCGGCACCTAGGCCAGTCCGGCTCGCGTTTCGGCCCAGCTGTCTCAGCCCCAAGGGAGGATTTCTGCTGGGACCCTGGTTTCTCCTACTGCCAGCACCCACGTGGCTTGGCAGGCTGCGGCTGCGGAGGCCTGGCTTCAGGGCACGGATGCCAGGGGCGTCAGGCCAGCCTGGGGCCGAGCCCCAGCCGTATCACTCCCTTCAACCTTGGGCAAATGATCAAACTGCTCCGCGTGTCCAGCCCCTCCTCTGCGGGCCGAGGATGGAGGGGAGGTGTGAGTGAGACAGTTCAAGGGGAAGCGCTTGATAAAGCTCCTGGCCCATGGGCGCAAGGCCCCAACAGTGGTGAGCTCAGATTATCAGCCTTCGCAAAGCCACCAAGGGCAGCTGGGGAGACAGAAAGAGAGGACTGACCTCCATGCAGCCCCTCACACGCATCAAGCACACCTGCCTCGGGGCCTTTGGAACGTGCTATTCTGCTGCCTGGCATCCGCGTCCAAGATCTGGACATGATTTACTCTCCCCCAAGAGACCTTCCCTGAGCACCCTTCTAAACATACTGTCAACACAGGAACGTCCCCGGCCTCCCTTCCTTGCCTCTCACCGTCTGATGTACCACCTATTGCATGTGTTGGAGTACTGTCTTCTGCCACGAGAATGCCAATTAATCTTAGAGCAGGGACGTTTGGGTTTCGTCGAGTGCTGAATCCCCTCAGCAATTATACGGAGACGGGATGAAGATGGAGATGGTTCAGCTATAAGCCATCATTCTAACTAGGATTGGGGTTCTGTCCTTTATTTTTTTTTAAATATATTCTATTGATTTTTTTTTTTTTTTTTTTTTTTTTTTTACAGAGAGGAAGAGAGAGGGATAGAAAGTTAGAAACATCAGCCGAGACCAGTTTGGCTCAATGGATAGAGCGTCGGCTTGGGGACTGAAGGGTCCCGGGTTCGATTCCGGTCAAGGGCATGTACCTTGGTTGTGGGCACATCCCCAGTAGGGGGTGTGCAAGAGGCAGCTGATCGATGATTCTCTCATCAATGTTTCTAACTCTCTATCTCTCTCCCTTCCTCTCTGTACAAAATCAATAAAATATATTTTTTTAAAAAAAGTTAGAAACATCAATGAGAGAGAATCATTGACCAGCTGCCTCTTGCATACCCCCTTCTGGGGATGTGCCAGCAACCAAGGTACATGCCCTTGGCCGGAATCGAACCCGGGACCTTTCAGTCCGCAGGCTCTATCCACTGATCCAAACCGGTTTCGGCTGGGGTTCTGTCCTTTAAACTCTCCTGGAGGAGCTTGGCCTTCCAGAGGACAGATACAGGAGTGTGTGAGAAGGGCAGGTTAATGCAGACCTGAAGACCAGGGGGTCCCGGCCCACGTGAGGCCACCGTGCAATGAAGACAGTGGGCTCTGGAATCAGATCAGGCCGAGTGTCAGTTTTGACTCCATCCGGACCCCAGCTTGCTCATCTGTGCACTGGGACAGCTGGCCTAGATGACTCCCATCTCCAACACACAATCCATCCGTGCTGGGCTGCCCCCACCCCTTCCCCTGGCTCCCATGTTCTTCACCTTGGCTCTGGTCCTCACCCCACCCCTCCTCTGCCTCTCAGGAAACTGGCCGACTGTGCCCAGCTGCTGGAGGTGGATGACATGGTGCGGTTGGCAGTGCCTGACTCCAAGTGCGTCTACACCTACATCCAAGAGCTGTACCGCTGCCTCGTGCAGAAGGGCCTGGTGAAGACCAAGAAGAAATGAGGAGCCGACCGACCCTGTGGGCAGGGTGCCCAGCTGCCCAGCCACGGCCCAGGACTGCCTTCTGCTCCAGAGACAAGAGAGCCAGCCGGGGCTTGGGCAAAGGCAGGTGGTACCAGTCTTAACGAATTAAAGGTACTTTTGTAAAATCCTGTCTGGCCCTCAGTGCTCCTGCCCTATCCCAGCTGGGAGCCTGTCCCTCTCTGGGACAATTAACCCTGGCTGCCAGGATTCCTCAGCTGACATTTCCTCACCCGACACAATCTTCTCTCTTTTTTTCAGAGATTTTTTAAATTGACTTTTGGAGAGCTGAAACCAGTTTGGCTCAGTGGATAGAGCGTCGGCCTGCAGACTGAAAGGTCCCAGGTTCGATTCCGGTCAAGGGCATGTACCTTGGTTGCGGGCACATTTTTAATTGACTTTTGGAGAGGAAAGGGAGAGAGGAGGGAGGAACAGCAATGTAAGAGTGAAATATATCGATTGGCTGCCTCCTGCACGCCCATTCAGGGGGATCAAGCCTGCAACCCAGACATGTACAGCCTGGGAATCAAACCAGCAACCTTTTGGTACATAGGACGATGCCCAACCCACCGAGCCACACCAGCCAGGGCTGTCACAATATTTTCTACCGGCATGAAAGGAATTTGGGAAAGGACGATGGCCTGGGTTCCACCATCACCAACCAACAGTGTGACCTTGGGCCCATGAGCTAACTCCTCTGAACCTCTTGACCATCTGGTTGTGGATAAAAGAAGTTCAAACCTCAGGGAGGCGTTGTAAGGATTAAAGGAAGTACTTAAATGGGCAAAAGCCTTGCCTGGCGCCTGTCACATACACGCTCAGTAAGTGGTGGCAAAGAGTAAAAACAAGTCTTACATTTTCGGCCAGCGGTGGCACTTTTCCTGTCTCTTCCCGCTCTCCACACTTCTCCTGGGTTAGAGAATTCCAGGGCAGTGCTGGAATGGATGCTCTAGAAATCACACCCAAAGTAGGCTAGTGGGGCCTACAATGAAGCCCTGGTCTCAAAAATAACCCACATCGCCGAAACCGTCTTGGCTCAGTAGATAAGAGTGTCAGCCTGCGGACTGGAAGGACCCAGGTTCGATTCTGGTCAAGGGCATGTACTTTGGTTGCGGGCACATCCCCGGTTGTGGGGTGTGCACGAGGCAGCTGATTGATGATTCTCTCTCATGGATGTTTCTGGCTCTCTATCCCTCTCCCTTTCTCTCTGTAAAAAATCAATAAAAAATACTAAAAAAAAAAAAAAAAGAAAGACAGAAAAAAAAAAAAGATACCCCACATTTCTGTCTCTTAAAAGCAAATGGGTGCTCACTTTGGCAGGACATATACTAAAATTGGAACGATACAGAGATTAGCATGGCCCCTTCGCGAAGATGATACGCAAATTCATGAAGCATTCCATATTTTTCAAAAAAAAGCAGATGAGTTTCCTGTAACTCAGAACCATCACACCCAGAAGGGTCTTCCTTCCGGTTAGTTAATCCCTCCAGCTCCAGCTCCGGCTGAAGTTGTGGCTTGTTTTTGTTTTTCCATTGCTCATTAGAGAGGAACTGAGGGCTGAGCGGATGACAATGTCCTGCTAACAGCCCTGTCTGGCTTTATCAGCCACTGGGGAATGCTGTGCTGATAACAGCCCATGGAAAACACCGAGACAAAACCCAGCCAACTTGGCACCGAGACAGGAGGTGACCTGGCATCCCACACTGTGCCCTGTGCGGCTGCCGCCTCATCTAGGAAATGAGGACATTACCCCTGTGACGGTGTTGATGGCCCTCTGGCCAGGATGGCCTAGCCCCCTCGTGGCCCCATAATATTTGGGGTTACTCCCGGCATAGGGCCATCAGTTCATGGACCCGACAGCAGCTAACTCCCCAGCCTCCTCTTCTCCTGGTGAAGCCGCCCCATCCCCTCGAAGGAACACGGAGCCAGAATCCACAAGTCATCTGAGACTTTAATGGCTGGAAAAACACATGGTTTCTGTGACTCCCCCTTGACTGGAAGCTGAAGGGGCCACGCCTCCCAGCCTGAAGCCTGGCCCCCAACCTAATGGGACTGCAAGTGGTTTGGAAACTGTGTAATCAGATTTCTGGGACAAGGATGAGATTCTTCCCTTAGTGATTCATCGGTGGGAAAGAGGTTTAGCACTTAAATCTACACAGCCCGACTGATAATGTAATCAACAAACCACCCAATTGCAAGGGAACTCCCTTCCATGTGCCCGCCTCCCGCACCCACTCCCCCCAGAAGCCTGGGTCCCAGGGGTTTTCTGGTTGGCTGACTGGCTCACGGCCCGGCCTGGAAGGGGATCTCTAAGATGGAGCCACTTGCAGGCCTGTGACTCTGCAAACCTAAACTGCCTGGCTCTGGGGGACAGGAACGGAATGGAAAGCACACCTGTGGTCCACACGTACCACACACACAACTAACAACTAACAACCTGAGAAAGGAAAAACGCAGAAAAACTGAGCAGGACGTGGGCCACCAAGAGGCTCCGGCCCCAGTCCGTGCGGTGTGTCCGTCCGATGCACGGACACGACCCGGTGCAGAGGGCCAGGACCGGAGCTAGGAGGGCCGGGGTACTCCAAACTGGAGGGTGAACTTCTCAGCGTCACTGTGGAACTTCTCCGAGTCCAGTGTCAGCAGGTCGGCGAGCTCCAGGCGCAGGGGCTCCGCCAGGTTCGGCTCATTCACCAGCTCGTTGAGGGCCTTCAAGGCTGGGGAGAGGGGCCAGAGCAGGACATGAGGACGGAGAGAGAAATCCTGGGAAGGGCCCAATGGCTGCCCACTCCCAGGCTCCCCTGGAACTCCATGCTCACTCCTTGGGGGACCCCCAAGAAGGCCCAACCTCTCAGGATGACCCCCTAACCAAACCGAACGCCCCTCACGTCCCCAGCTGACGCCGCCGAAAGCTCTGACGGGTTCCATCAGCAGTTTCTAAACTGTGTTCCGTTGAGGAGATCCGCGGAGTGTCTGGGTCCCACGCTCCCTTTTCAACAAGAGCCACTTTGTGTCCCTCGGTTTGATACTAGGATTCCAAATGAGCTTTTACTTGGGAAAAAGGGTTCTGAGGCTGAAGACTGAGAACCACTGCTGCCCGGTGGCTGACCTTGCACAGGTGCCTTTGGGAACCTGGGGAAGGCAGGGGCCCGTCTCCCCGGGCACGTGCACATGCGCACACACAGGCAGCTCTGAGGTCAGGGTGCTTCACGGGTCCCTGAAGGTCATCCAAGGAGCACTCCCCACCCGTCCCCGCCCCAGGACCCCTCCCAGACCATCCAGAGGCAGGATGACAGATCGCACATCGACGTGAGCCAATAGCCACCTGTGCTTACCACGTTTTCAATGAACTGAAATGAACTGTAACTAGGAATCCCGTTCCTCGGCCACATTTCCAGCGCTCAAAGCCGCACGGTGGCCACTGACTGTGGAACCGGACAGGGCACACAACACTCCCATCACTGCAGAAAGGCCTGCTGGATGGCGCCGAGCCATCTGAACGGCCTCAGGCAAGTGCCTCACCTCTCGGTGCCTCCGTGTGCTCATCTGCTAAATGGGGCTAAGGAGAGCACTGTCGTGTGAAGTTGCTCAGGAGGAGATTCAATGGGATTATGCATGAAGCTCTCCGCATGGTGCCCCAAGTGCTTAGTCAAGTGATGTGGATTGTCATACGGGGCCAACCCCTTTAACTGTCCTTCAGGGCACTGGGGCCTTGGAAAGGAGTGGAGACTTCACCGAGGTCCACAGGTAGAGAGCAGCGGCCTTCTTACCCCCAGCCCGTCCCTCTAGAGCTCAGCTGCTTCTCTCCCGGGACCCACACACATGTTGTCGTCACACCTGCCCACATGCAAGAACAGGAGCAGGTATCTCAGGACGCGTCCCTTCTATCCAACAACAGACTCCACCGAGACCCACCATTTTTCTCTCTTCTCTTTTGGGTTTTTCTAACTCAAAATCAGCCCCATAACCCCGCTCCAGCGTGGGCCCCTCCCTGGAGGCAGAGCCCCGCCCACCTTGGTAGGCCTTGGTAGAAGGATTCCAGTTCTGATGGCTGATGATGGGTAGGCAGACCTGGCCATCGTCGCCCACGTTGGGGTGGTAGATCTTGGTTGTGAACGTCACCGTGGGGGGACTCATCGGATAGTCCTCGGGGAAGCTGATGCGCACGTTGAAGGCCCTGAGGTTGTAGGGCGACCTCTCCTGCATGAGAAAAGGAGTGAAGCTCTGCTCAGAGGCAGGGCTGCTCCGAGATCATTCTCCTCCTCAGGCCCTGGTCCCATTTCCCCTTCCCTGCCCCCACCCCAGGGTCCAAGGCAGCCTCTACTCCACTCCTAAAAAGAATCATGAGCCGAGACCGGTTTGGCTCAGTGGATAGAGCGTCAGTCTGCCGACTGAGGGGTCCCAGGTTCGATTCCAGTCAAGGGTACATTGGCTGCGGGTACATCCCCGGTGGGGGGTGTGCAGGAGGCAGCTGGTCGAAGTATCTCTCTCATCGATGTTTCTATCCCTCTCCCTTCCTCTCTGTGAAAAATCAATAAAATATATATTTAAAAAAAAAAAAGAAAAAAAAATCATGAATGGAGACAGATGGCACCTGCATTCATTTGGCAACTGAGCCATGGGTTAGTGAAGAGTGGAATCACTAAAGAATTCTGAAGGGGAGGGGCAGGGTCCCAAGCCGGATTCTGGCTTTTGCTGGGTGACCCAGGCCAGTGCCTCCCATCTCCAGGCCTCAATTTCCTCACTTGAAAAGTGGGTAAAGTTTGACTAAATAAGCTCTAAGGGCCATCACATCTTTTTTTTTTTTTTGTACAGATAATTAACCTTTCCCCAGATTTATTGAGAAATAATTGGCACACACCATTATATAAGTCTGAGGTGTATAGCCTGAAGATTAGGTTTGCATGTATTGTGAAATAATTACCATAATAATACCAGCTAACGCTTATCTTCTCAGATAGAGACAGGAAAAGAGAAAATAAAAAAATGTTTCTCCTTGTGATGAGAACTGTTGGGATCTACTCTTTTATATATATATATATATATTTATTGATTTCAGAGAAGAAGGGAGGGAGAAAAAGAAACATCAGTGATGAGAGAGAATCATTGACTGGACTGCCTCCTGCAAGTCCCACAACCCAGGCATGTGCCTTGACCAGAATAGAACCTGGGACCCTTCAGTCCACAGGCCCATGCTCTATCCACTGAGCCAACCCAACTAGGGCAGGATCTACTCTCTTAAAACAACCTTCCTATAGACCTACAGTGGTGTTAGCTATGATCATCACATGATATATCTCATCCCCAGCATTTACTTACCTTATAACTGAAAATTTGCATCTTTTGACCACTTTCCTTCATACCTCCTGCCCTCCACCCTCTGATCTTTTTTTCTTTTTTTTAAATATATTTTATTGATTTTTTTTACAGAGAGGAGGAGAGAGGGATAGAGAGCTAGAAACGTCAATGAGAGAGAAACATTGACCAGCTGCCTCTTGCACACCCCCTACCGGGGATATGCCTGCAACCAATGTACATGCCCTTGACCGGAATCGAACCTAGGACCTTTCAGTCCGCAGACAGACGCTCTACCACTGAGCCAAACCAGTTTCGGCCTGATCTCTTTTTCTTGGGAGTTTTGGGGTTTGCTATTTTTACTTATTTTTTTTAGATTCCTCTTTGATGTGAGATCATACGGTATCTGTCTTTCTCCATCTACCTTCAAGGTCCATCCATGTTGTTGCAAATGGTCATCTCAGTTTAAAGCTTCCTGAGAATTACGGAAGAGAAGGACACACAGGCTGTGTTTAGGAGCTGTTAGCAAGTACAGGAGAACACCGTGGTTGGAGGGGATGAAATGGAGGAAGTGAGGAAACCGTAAGAACTCAGGGGACTGGAGGTGTAAAATAGGGCAGCCACTGTGGAAAGCTGTACAGGGGTTCCTCAAAAATTTAAACAGAATTACCATATGATCCAACAATTCCACTTCTGGCGATATACTCAAAAGAAGTGAAAGCAAGGACTCAAATAGGAATTTGTACACCTGCATTCACAGCTGCGTTATTCATTGTAGAAAACCGTGGAAACAACCCAACTGTCCCTCTACGAACGAAAGCTTAAGCAAAATGTGGCATGAACATACAATGGAATATTATTCAACCTTAAAGAGGAAGGGAATTCAGCCCTAACCGGTTTGGCTCAGTGGATAGAGCATCCGTCTGCAGACTGAAAGTCCACAGGTTCGATTCAGGTCAAGGGCATGCACCTTGGTTGTGGGCACATCCTCAGTAGGGGGTGTGCAGGAGGCAGCTGATCGATGTTTCTCTCTCATCAATGTTTCTAGCTCTCTATCTCTCTCTTTTCCTCTCTGTAAAAAAATCAATAAAATATATTTTAAAAAGGAAAAGAAAAAGAAAAAGAAAAAGAAAAAACACAGTGGCTAAAGAGATGGAAGGATGGGAGCTGCTGGGACCCAGTAGGAAATCCTCCAGAGTTTGAGCAACCTGAAGGCTTGCCTGAGCACCTACTCTGTGCGGCCCTGTGCTAAGGGCTTGGCACACATTAGGTCGTGTACAATAGCAGACTGTAGGGCACATGTGTCAAACACAAGGCCCGCGGGCCAAATCCGTCCCGCCAGGCCTTGCAATGTGGACCGCACCGCGCTGTCATCACTGCACTCCGCTGCGTTTCCATCACAATGACAGTTTATGACTGTTCAGTAAACCATTCGGCCCGCGATTTAGGCTGGATTTTAGATTTTGGCCCCTTCTCTGATTGAGTTCGACACCCCTACGTAGGGGTTGCATGGGCTTTGGAGCCACACTGCCTGGGTGTGAATCTTCACTAGCTGTGTGACCTTAGGTAAGTAGCTTAACTTCTCTGTGCTTCCATTTGGGAATAATAATACACTTCTTCATAGGCTTCTGTGAGGATTAAGTGAGTTATGCTAAGGACTTAGAACAGGGCCTGGCACATGGCAAGCACTACATTGGTGTCAATGGTTATAAGTATTATGAAAACTCATGACTATGAGCATCTCCAATTCCATATGAGGAAACTCAAGTTCAATGCACGTAGTAAGTAACTTGCCCAGGCCCACAGTGGCAGGGCTGGGATGGGAACCCACGCTGTGGACTCTATTTCCACACATGAACACTGTGCTACACCCCAGACAGAACTTCAGAGACCCCAGTCCAGGCTGGTGCCAAAGCTCCAGACCTTTCAGAACCTTTGCTGCTGAGGAGACAGGACAAAGACAGGATGACATACAGGATGACAGTCGGGGTTTTAAGAGAACTCCTCTGCCTTAGCAGAAGGCAAAACAGAAGGCACAGTGGTCTTGGATATGTCTGAAATAAGAGATGGGGCAACTAGTGGGCAGATAAAATGTCTCAGCATTTATGTTCTTGAATAACAAGAAGGGGGTGGGACCAGGAAGCAGAGACATGGCCAAAGATGAGGCCTCACCGAAGGCTAAATGACTTTTGCATCTTATCTGTGAGCTCTGAAAAATGAACAAAACGACTCCATGTAATTAAGCACCAACACTGTGGGAGAAGGGCCTCCTAAAGAAAGTCTTCTCAGCTCAACAGATTCATTTCTATGTCCATCACCCCCGACCCCTTCAGGACACTGATGAAAGGTGCGCGTGCGCGCGCTCGCTCTCTCTCTCTCTCTCTCTCTCCACCTGTGGACATGTCAGCGTCACTGACAGTCTTGATATAATGAACATCTAGGGAACAGCTAAGGTTGTCATACTTTGAGGAACCACTCTTTACCCTCGATCAACTGTGGGAAACAGGAAGTTTATCTCTGGCCCCTGACAAAGGTCCAAGAAACCTTTTCTTTTCTTTTTTGTTTTGTTTTTTTGGTTTGTTTGTTTGTTTGTTTGTTTGTAAGAATAAAATCTTACCATTTGCGACAGCATGGATAAACAAAGGGTATTTGCTTCAACCTCAGAAGCAATAAACTCAGAGAGAGATCCCAATGGCAGAGGCAGTAAAAAAGGGACCCCAACACAGGGAAAATTCTTGCCCAGTCCTAACCGTCCCTGCCCAGGCCCCTGGCCTCAGTCACCCCAACCCAGGCCCAGGATCCCAGGGGCACTCACGGGCAGGAGGAGGACATCCCACACCAGGACATCCGCGTCATCACTGGACAGGTTCCGCAGGTAGTGGGGAAGGTCCTTCTGCAGATCCTCCAGCTCCTGGGGGGAGGGGGACAGTCGGCTTAGTCTCCCCTACTTCAGCCGCTTCCCCCCGCCCCAGCACAAGCTGTCCTAAGTCCCAAATGGGGCAGAAGCCGGCAAAGTCAGAGCTCCCATGTATTGAGCGCTTAGTACGTGCCAGGCCGGTGCTGAGTACTTGACGTGACAGCCGGTGTTAGTCTCACACAGCTCCGGAGGTGCCGGGTGAAGGGAACATGAAGGTCACTGCGTCCAGATGTTAGAACCTGGGAGTCAACTCTCTTAGGAGTCGTTTCTCCTGAAGCCAAGGCACTTCGCCTCCATCCTCTAATCCATTGTTTCCCAAACCTTTGACATAGGTGTATCCCTTCTATAATTTTCGTAACGCTGAGTACAACCTCGTACTCACGAGAACGTAGAATTAGGCGCAGCTAAGCACAGTGCAGTGCATATCCCCACCAAACTCCGGTGCAACGCGTACCCCCACCAAACTCTTCCCGTACCCCTGGGGGTATGTGTACCACGCTTTGGGAAACACTGCTCTAGTCTTTTTCCTAGAGAGTCACAATGCCCTATACCCTCCCGCCCTCTGGCCCTCCCTAGCACCCATCCATTAGTGTCCAGCGGGACAGTGTGTCCCTACATGCTCACAGCAGCAGAGACATCACCCTGTGCCCAGCAGACCCCTCCATCCCAGGGTGAGGGAGGGAGATGACTCAGACCATGCAAAGCAGACGTCTACACACCACCCAGAGCAACAGGGGACAGGAGTGACTCACCTTCCAGTCACATCTCTGAGTTCTCCCAGCAGCCCTCCCTGAGCCCGCTCTGCTAACACCTGACTAAGACAGGGCCCCGTCCTCACGAACTTCCCTGGAGCAATGGAAGAACCAGGGGTGTGATGACGTGGATAATAGCGGGGGAAGGAGAGGAGGGGACAGCAGGAAGGCTCTGCAGAAGGTGACCCTGAGCTGGATCCTGGGGCAGTAAAGGAGCCCGCCCTGCAGAGAAGGGGAGAGGCACCCAGGCAGAGGGCCTAGGCAGCGCAAGTGTGTGTCTCCTGCAAGGTTAACAGTGATCACGGTCAAGTGCTCTGGGGGACGCTAGCTAAACCGATTTCTCTACGGCAGGAATTCCCTAGTCTTCAATACGTGAGTCATGAACCTCCAAGATGTGAGCCCACAACATACAGTATTTCTCAAACTTATTGGACCAAGGAGCCCTCTCCCTTTCAGGGTTCATCCTGTGGGACAACAGACCTTTGGTGGGGGGAACAATTAAAAGATTAAAAGACATTCAAGCCCTAACCGGTTTGGCTCAGTGGATAGAGCTTTAGCCTGTGGACTGAAGGGTCCCGGGTTCGATTCTGGTCAAAGGGCATGTATAATATCTTGGTTGCGGGCACATCCCTCAGTAGGGCGTGTGCAGGAGGCAGCTGATTGATGTTTCTCTATCATCGATGTTTCTAACTCTATTCCTCTCCCTTCCTCTCTGTGGAAAATCAATAATATATATATATATATATATATATATATATTTTATTTTTTTTTTTAAAGACATTCAAAGGCAGGTGATATGCTCTGAAACACAGAATGGGGGATGCTACTGGCATTTAGCAGGCAGAGGCCAGGGCTGCTCACAGACATCCTACAAAATATTATCTAGCCCAAAATGTCAGCGGCAGCAAGGCTGAGAGACAGAGCCTGGGGTAAACAAAAGCAGAGAGAAAGCTCCTCACAGGCCATCCGCGCGGAGGGGTCCCTTAGTACGGTGGGCCACCTGAACTTTATCTGCCCCCCAATATATAAACACCCGTCCCCCATTTCCTAGGCTCAGCCCATACTCCATCTCTGTTCGTGCCAACAAGCTACTTCTGCCCAAAGTATCTGGCCCTCGTTTATCATTCACCCCAAACTAGAAGAAGCATCTGCCACGCCAAGTCCTAGTTCCAACGTAATCTGTGACTCTTTGGAAACAACGAAGGCCAAGGTGGAACAGAGTAGCTGTGGGACAGACACTTCCTGGCTTACTATAACTGGGGTCACTCTTATCGGTGAGTTCTGCCAAAACTTGCCCCAAGCCCAAGAATGTGGAAACCCAAGCAAGGGCGCACAGCTCCTTCCTGAGGCCTGTAAGGGAATGACCTGACTCAAAGGAACAGAAAGTGAAAGCAGAGAGGCCCCCCCAAAGAAGCTGCAGGTTGGAGCCCCATCCTCTTGGACTCAAATCCCAGCTTCTCATTCCCTACTGGATGACCCTGACAACCAAGTGATTCTGAGCCTCAATGTCCTCATCTGTAAAATGGGGGCAAATGACAATTACATGAAATGACTAATGTGTAAACTGCTTGGCACCTGACGGTGCCAGTGGGATAAATACCAAAGACAGCTCCTAGCTCTTTCCCACCTGGCTGGAAGACCGTCTGCCCAACTCTGAGATTTCAGTTCTGGGCTGTGTCTGCTCCCAGTGCCCCAATCTGGGACCGCCTTCCTCTCAAAGGCTGAAGGTAGCAGGCGCCCCCTGTCACCCTCCTCAAGCCTGCCCCCCCACTCTGCACAGTAGAGGGGCACTTCTGAGAAGGTCAGAGTCTGGGGGGTGTCAGACTCACTTCCCCACGATTGCTCTTCCTTCCCCTTCCATCTCCTGGCTCCACCTGATCCGGTAAACACCCTGGATCTCTCCACTGCCTGGGAGAAATCCTTCCGGACTGTTCCCCATCCTTCCGGACTTCATTTCAAATCGTGTCCCCGACTGGAAAGAACGCTGAGTGAGGGCAGAATATTTGCTCATCTCTGCACAGGAACCAGCACAACATAGTAGGTACTCAATATTTGTAGAACGAATGAATGCACACTCTTACTCCAGGACACCTTCCAGGTCCCTTTGGATAGCTTTTCCTCCTGAAAATACCCAGGGAACTTTGTTCCCAAATTCTACTCAGCACCACCGCCCCCAAACACTCACTCACACACACACACACACACACACACACACACACACACACACACAATCTCTCTAGAGATGTATAATAGGTACCAAAATAGGAGGCGGGCCCGGGCTATTTATTCCAAGACAAGGACCTTGTCCTGGTTGTATCTCCTCCGTTCAAGCTCACCCCACTCCGCCTGGCTCCTGGCACCAACCCTTCGTTCAGCACCTGAGACTCCAGCAGCCGTTATCGCGTTATCGCAAGTTTCTGGCCGGAGAAAAGAAACTGAAACCAGTTTGCGGGGCGCCGGCCCATCCCCATCTTCCTTGCGGCTCAGGGAGACAGCGCCCCCAAACGCCCCTCCGCTCCCCAAACTCCAGCTCCGACCCGTCCCGCGCACCCTGCTTCCCCCGGAGGGGGAAGGGGGGAGATAACGGGGTTCAGCGGCCCCGGAACCCGCACAAACCAGCGCGCGCGGAGAAGTCCGGGAGGGACGGGACGGAGGGCAGAGGAACCGGGGGCGGCGAGGGGAGCCGTGAGAAAGGGGTGCCCTCCGTGCGCTCACCTTCGCCACCCGCTTGCACGCCGTCATCTCGGGTCCGAACGCGGGCTCCGGCGGCGGCGGCGGCGGCGGCGACACAGAACGGCCGGCGGCCCGGGCTCGCCCCGCACCTAGGACCCCGCCTCCGGGAGCCCCGCCCCGCGCCGCTCCCCGCGCGCCCGCCCGCGAGCCGGCGGAGGGGCCGTGGGAACCTGCTCGCCGCCGACCCCGCCGCGAACGGGAAACCGCCGAGGGCAGGAGACCAGCGGCCCCGGCCCGGGTCCTGCGCGGAGGGCTGGGTCCCTGGGACTCGCGCGCTTTGTGGGGAGAGCGGCGGACCCGGAGCGCGTGGCGCGGCTAGACCTGGGCGTCCCACTGGGGGGCGCCGTGCACCAGGCGGCGAGCCGCTCCGGGGCGCGGGGCTGGGGTCCGCCCCTCCGCTGCCCGACGCCGCGCCCCCGACCCCCCAGCTCCCCGCCGCTCCAAACACATACATAGACGCCCCAAGTTTTTGGTTCTGCAATCGCTGGTTTCTGCAAACGCTGCTCCCGACCGCTCGCTCGGCGGCCTCCACCCTCAAACCGCTGCCCTGAGCTCCCCCACTAGCGAATGTTTGGAGCCCCCTGGACACGTCATTTCCCTTTTCTGGGCCCCTCGCCCCATCTCTAAAAAGGAGTGCGGCACAGCATGCACTCCATGCCCTCCAGAGGCCCCTGCCCTGGTGGCTGAGATCTTTTGTGCCGTCTAAGCCTTCGATGGCGCAATCGAGGGTCGTTTCTCCCCGGGGACGGCGTGGCCCAGAGCGCCGCAAGGGGGCGCTGTTGGATCCATTCCCTCTCTTGCTTTGGGTCCTTCATTAGATTTAATATTTAGTAAGTGCCTGCTCTGTGTCGACTGGGCAAACAGTGGTTGGGAGCGTCCCAAAGACAGACGTCAGGAACCTCCCTTCTTTTACCACCGATTTTTATTACAACCTGCGGGCCTACTGTGTGCCTCCAAGGAGCCAGGAGCGTAAAGGCAGGGACACATTCTGAGGCCACCGTAGAAGAGCAGTCCCTGGGCACCGAGCAGCATTGGGGAAGAACGCCCTGGTAATAATGAGACGCCTTGGGAGGATCGAACCCACTTTCCTTACCCCACCGCCGCTTTCAGGCCAGCTGAGGAGGAAATTTGGGCATGCTTTGAGCCCCTATTTTGAGTTCTGTGCCCACCACCTCACGGGTTTTTGTTTGTTTTTTAAATCTAAGTGTCTTGGAACCGAATTGCTTTTCTGCGCAGATGTCCGATATATTTGCAGAACGATTAATTGTTTAATTCAATTCAATAAACTTTAACTCGGCTTCCTCTACATGCCAGAAATGAATAGGACACTGATCACTATCTTACCCTAGGTAGAGTTGAGGGAACACGGGTGTTTCACCCTACCTCTGGTCATTCATCTCAGTTAACATGTAGTTATTACTAAATGTCGGGCCCTGACTTTTAGGGAACAGCACGAACCTTGCCCTTGAGGGAAAGAATGTGGCCCCTGCGTGTTTATATATATATATATATATATATATATATATATATATATATATATATATATATATATATATATATGATTGATTTTTTACAGAGAGGAAGAGAGAGGATAGTTAGAAACATCGATGAGAGAGAAACATAGATCAGCTGCCTCTCGCACACCCCCTATGGGGATGTGCCCGCAACCCAGGTATATGCCCTTGACCGGAATCGAACCTGGGACCTTTCAGTCCAACGCTCTATCCACTGAGCCAAACCGGTTTCAGCTGGCCCCTGCGTTTTTTAATGCAAAGTGGTAAGCAGGAGGATCTAGGGAGCCACCTGGTGCTGTGGGAGCCTGGAGTAGGGGTCACCTGACGCAACCTCAGAGAGGGCCAAGGTTTCCTGGAAGACATCAAAACCCAAGTGCGTTGCAACACAGGGGGAGTTCGCTAGAGTAAGAGCTTGGATGAGTGTGTTCCCAGAAGAGAGAACAGAACAGGAAAAGGTGTGGTCACAATGCCTGTGGAGACTGAAAGCAGTTCCATAACGTGGAGCAAAGTCTAACCAAAGTTCTGCGGCTCTCCTTCCTTTCTCATCCAGAAACCCTGCCACCCCGGAGTGAATTGGATTCAGTCATGGATTTAACCCAGCCTCCCTGTCCTGGGATGGACTCTAACCGCCCAAACGGCTGGGAGGCCCACGTGCATGGCCTCCTCCTTGCACAATGCAGACCTTTGTGTGTGTGTGTGTGTGTGTGTGCGTGTGTGTGTGTGTGTGTGCCGGAAACAGCCCCACGGAGAACCTGGATTCCAGATCCACATGGGCCCCCGTGCAGCATGGCTTTGGGCAGGCTGTGGGACCTCCCACCTCCTTCCCAGGACCACAGTGAGGCTAAGCTCACAGAAGTGGAGGAACTTTGAAAATTATGACTCCCAGATACAAATAATCAGGATTCAATCCCAGCTCAACTATTATTATCTGAAAAACCTTGGGCAAAAGTTACTTAGCCTATCCATCTCCTCGTCTGTAAAATGGGGCACTTAACAGTGGGTGTAAGGAATAATGAATTGGTATTTGGACAATAAATGATTGTGTGATCATCTATAATAATAAAAGGGTGATATGCTAATTAGACTGGGTGTCCTTGCAGACGAAGCCTGGAGGGAAGGCAGAAGTCCCAGGTGCCTGCTGGCCGTTAGAGCAAAAGCCCACGTCCCGGGTGCCAGAGGGAAGCAGCCGGGGGAAGGAAGGCCTACTCCAGCACAAATTTTGTGCATCTGGCCTCTACTAATATAATATTCACCTTCATATGCCTGCAGCCTGTCTGGAAGATACAAGATATTGTGATGTTCCCTGGGGAGGGTGACTAGGTGATTGTGTATGGGAAGGGAAGGAAAATTTTTCACTGTAAAATCCATTTCCTTTTAAACTATATTTTACTAGATGAAACCGGTTTGGCTCAGTGGATGGAGTGTCCGCCTTCGGAATGAAGGTTCCCAGGTTCATTTCCGGTCAAGGCCATGTACCTTGGTTGTGGGCACATCCTCAGTAGAGGATGTGCAGAAGGCGGCTGATCAAAGTTTCTAACTCTCTATCCCTCTCCCTTCCTCTCTGTAAAAAGATTAATAAAATATATTTTAAAAAAAGAATATAATCCAGATCTGATTCATTCTTCTGTTAAATTTTTTAATTAAAGTATTTTCATAAACCCCTAAAAGTATCTTGGGCTCAAGACCCTGTGTCTGGTCAGCCCTGATTCATTCTGTTAATAGTGAGCGCTACTGATTTTCCATTTACAGAGAGGTCAAGTTTCCTTTTTATGCATGTGTATTCAAGAAAACAAAACAAGTCCATTGCTTTGGGTCCTTCATTAGATTTAATATTTAGTAAGTGCCTAAATATTAGTCAGCTCAAGCCACCACAGCAAAATGCCATGGACTGGGTGGTTTAAATAATGGAAAGTTATCTTCTTAGAGTTGTAGAGGCTGGAACTCTGAGATCAGGGTGCCAGCATAGTACTCTGGGGAGGTCCCTCTTCCTAGCTTGCAGATGGCCTTGACCTCTTCACTTTGTGTCCTCACCCGGAGCATGTGTCTGTGGGCCTCGCTCTTCCTCTTCATAGAAAGCCAAGTCCTATTGGATCAGGGCCCCATCCTTATGACCTCAGTTAAACTTAATTACCCCCTAAAAACTCTCTCTCCAGATACACGCATGCTGCAGATTAGGGCTTCAACATATGAATTTGGGGGAGACACAATTCAGTCCAATACAAATAGCAAAGAACTTATAGTATAGGGGTTTGTGAGATAAAGCAAAAATGAAAGCCATTCATTTTACAGATGGCTGAGGTCTAGGAATAGGAAGCCCCAAGGAGCCAGGATTGGAATCCCTATGCATTCTGGGTCCTTCAGGACACCTGGGCTCCTCCAGCACACTTCCGGGAATGGGATGAGCCACTCCTGCCCCACGGCCTTTGACCTGCCCAGAGAGTCAGGACTTGGCCCACAGCCTGCTCTTGCCAAGCCCTGCGTCCTGGGGAGTCAGCTTCCCAGAGGAGCTAAACAGAATTTTGTTTCATCAAAAACCTGATGCATTTTGTTTCATCAGAATGCTACCAAAAAAAATACAAATAGACAACAAGCATGAAAAGGTGTCCCATCTCATGAGTAATCAACAAAATAAAAATTAAGACCATAATGAGACATTAATAGTTGGCTAAAAGGCCAAAACCAGTTTGGCTCAGTGGATAAAGCATCGGCCTGCAGACTGAAAGGTCCTGGGTTCGATTTCGGTCAAAGACATGTACCTTGGTTGTGGGCACATCCCCAGTAGTGGGTGTGCAGGAGGCATCTGATTGATGTTTCTCTTCTCATCGATGTTTCTAGTTCTCTGTCCCTCTCTCTTCCTCTCTGTTAAAAATCAATAAAATGTGTTTGTTTTTTTTAAATAATTGGCTAAAAGTTTACATTATGACAACCCAAGTGTTGGGAGAATTTGATGGATAGTAACTTTTTGTTTTAAACACCTCTTATTCATCCCATTGCTGAGGGAGGGATTCCTGCCTTATAGATAAGGGGATGGCTGAACCCATGGCACCTAACACCGGACAGATGAGATAACAGTTGGTGATTGCTCACATATGCTTCCCTCCTGAAGGAGGAAAACATCACATGCCACAAAGGGCCAAATGGAGTTGCACTCAAGAACAGAGCGAGCAACCAGGGGCTCTGGGTCTCCAGTACAAAGAGGATGGTGGCCCCTGGTTCCCATGGGAGGATGTAGTATGTGGTTGACATGTTTGAATAATTCTGCAGGCTGGCAGGGAACCGAAACCCACTACTCAGAGTAAGTGGGAACTCTGCCTTCATAAAGAGAGTCATTTGGCTACAGGACTTGATCTAAGGAAGCAGAGTGGGGAGGGGACTTGAAGTTGGGCCATTCACATCTCTCCTCATTTTACCAGCTGTCAAAGCAGCACATAAGAGGGAGCCTTCAGTTTAGGTCTGCATTAGGCTTATCCAGAAAAGCAGAACCAACAGGATGTGTGTGTGTGCATCCATATATACATGTACATGTAGAAATCAGTGGACATTGAATAAAGCAGATTGCCCTCAATAATGTGGATGGGCCTCAATGCAGTTGAAGATCTTACTAGAATAAATGTTTACCTTTGCCTTTCTCTATATATAAATAGATAGATAACAGATAGATAAGGGTAGATATAGATATAGATATAGATATCTCAAAACAAAATTCAAAAAAGGAACTTAAATTTAGAGGACTAAATTCACAGCTGAGTAAAGAGTCCAAACCTGAGTTTTCTGTCCAAAGAGATGGCAACAGAGAGT